CTGAGATACTTAAATAGAATAGTAATTGGGACTTGCAATTATTTAGGTCCTTCGTTTGAATAATAAGGCAAAAGGGAATATATAGAAATGATCTAAAAGTTGTAGAAAAGCACCGAAACTACCAGCAAGACGTTAAGAGAACTGGTGAGAGATTTACGGTCAAGAGGTGTAAAATTTTCTCATAACATTACTCAAATGTTGATCATATTATAGACACATAAACGCAGCATGGAAAAGCAATTTTCAAGAAGAAGAGAGGAAATTAAAAGAGTTACAAGGTTGGAGACGACATCGAAAAAGGTGGAATTCTACTCGCAGAACAATTTTTGAACGTAAACGTTTTGGCAAACAAAGACCATTCAGCGAGCGAATCATTATGATGTTGTTATCATAACGACTTTACTTTAACCAAGAAAGATTGTTATGTTAATAACTCCCAGCGACTCATACATTATGTGCAAAAAATAGACTCTAAGTCTTTGTCTGATTGGAGTACGAGGCTCTGAGGAAGCGAGAGAAGGAACAATGCGAAAGTTTGGTACTGGTATTGGTTTCTTAGGAGCTCAGCAACTACCGCAATACCATTCATCGACTAGTGCAGGCGAATGCTGAAATACACGTCAGAAAACGACGTTTGATCGAAAATGGAGGCACTGCGTCTCAATTTAGAGGCCTCCCAAATAATCTCCACACAATTATTGTTAATATTAATTTTATGAAACTCCTTATATTCAAATTTTCTTAGACGTCTTCGTTCATCTGTATTGAATCGAGCAAACTGGAGAGGACATGGACACCATTACCGCCGCCATCGTCTATGCGAATCAAGATCGAGGAGCCACCAAAAGCCACAAAGCACGACAAAGATAATAGCATGAGATTGAAACGGTGGAAAACGACATCGCTACACTGTTCATGGTATCGGTACAGTGTGCTAAGTCTCACAGTTCAACAATAAGTATGCGGATGTCTACGCCTCTGCCGATATCAATTTTGATACGGTTTACAAAGGGCGGATTTTAAATTAGATTACCCACTCCTCATCTTTAGCAAAGCGTGGTCTGAAGGCGAAGAGAAAATGCGCCATGTCCACCTTGCTTACGTTGCGCGGAGTCAATGAATGAGACCGCCCGAGTTCTTGGACGTTGATCCAGCCCACAAAGCATGGTGATGCCAAGTAGAAGCAGGATGGCTGACAGCTTGACATTCGCTTCATCTCCCAGCGACCGTCGCCTGCATGAGTACTTGCTCTTGAGCTTCGATAACCGAAAATGAACGGTTCATACAGATGCATTTCTTATAAATTCTCCGCAAAGGAGATAATATTTGCTACTGCGTTGAATAGGAATAAGATTAGCATGGCATTGCAGATGAGCGGTTCATATGTGATCGCAGAGGCGTACTATTGCTCAGTCATTTTTATCAAAGTGACTCTTTGGGATACGTGTAAATGAGCTTCCCTTGAATGTATGGAGTGACGCCGCCCATAAGACTTAGTGCTCACTGGACATTTTTGAAACAAACACTCATGTTTGTCAAAATGTGCTGGGATTTATGGAACAATCTATAAAATAAGTCACTTATCAACTTTTGTCCAGGACGTTCAGGCACAGTTGATGATTGGCGCGTCATTTCTGTTGTAGGGGGGGG